ACGCGACCGACTCAAGACCAAGCAGGTCGGCAGCAGCAGCAGAGGCAACAGAGGGCAGCAAGGGGGAAGGAGAGCACCCCTCAAAGATGGGGGTGCGAGGGTCACCACGAGAAGCACCTACAGCGACTATGCTCTTCTCCGCTGCGAGGAGGGCCTTCTCGAGGAGGTCGAAGGTGAGGGTGGTGGGACAGACTGCGAGAAAGTGGTCCCTGCCGACGCGAAGGGAGTCAGGGAGGCGCGCGACTACGTAGTAGAGAGCGATGTACATGGGGGGTGGGTTCTTAGCGCAGAACTCAGCAGGAAGGGCGGCGCGGTAGCGAGTGTCACTAGTGCGGAGGTGCGTAATGAGGTCAGCGACAGTGGGAAAGGCAGAGAGGTCAGGAAAGAGGTAGGGAAGCATGAGACGGCTCAGTGCAGCAGTGGCAGGGGAGGAGTAGCGCGCAACTACAGCGTCGTACAAGGTCTGAGCACTCTTGTACTGACTAAAGTGCGCACGCTCAGAGGTAGGGAGGTGGCGACGCACAGCAAGACGTGCAGCAGCATCGCTGGTGGCCCACTGAGAGCGGACAGTGGGATCAGCATCAGCAGCAGGAGCAGGAGAGGCGCCAGAGGTGAGGTCAAAGAGAGAAAGGCCGTCAGCCCTGTCGCACTGTAAGAACAGCTGCAGGTCGTCTAACCAGACCTCAAAATCAATGGCGCGACCCTCAGCGTCAAACGCTAGGACACTAGGGGTAGCCATGGCGACGACAGCGACGCAGTGCAAGCAGTAGGGAAAGAGCTCGCAGTGACAGTGGGACTGTGCTCACCAGGCAGGGCAGGTCGTGCAGCTCTGCAGAAAGGCGGCTCGGCGACCGGGCGGCTCGGGTGCACAGCGGCTCGGCTCCCGGGCGGCTCGGCGGCTGGGCGGCTCGGGCGCAGGGCGGCTCGGCTCCCGGGCGGCTCGGCGGCAGGGCGGCTCGGGTGCAGGGCGGCTCGGCTCCCGGGCGGCTCGGCGGCAGGGCGGCTCGGGTGCAGGGCGGCTCGGGTCCCGGGCGGCTCGGCGTTGGGCGGCTCGGCTCCCGGGCGGTTCGGCTGCACTGCTGCCCGACTGCTGCAGGTGTGGCGGCGGGGCCGCGTGAGAGAGCCGGGGCGGGGACGCGTGAGGGCCGGCGGCTGGGCCGCGTGAGAGCCGGGGCGGGGCCGCTTCAGAGCCGGCGGCGGGGCCGCAAGAGAGCCGGGTAGGGGCCGCGTGAGGGCCGGCGGCGGGGCCGCGTGAGAGCCGGGGCGGGGCCGCTTCAGAGCCGGCGGCGGGGCCGCAAAAGAGCCGGCGGCGGGGCCGCTTGAGAGCCGGGGCAGGGGCCGCGTCAGGGCCGGCGACGGGGCCGTAAGAGAGCCGGCGGCGGGGCCTGGAGAGGGCCGACGTCGGGGCCACGTGAGAGCCGGGGCGGGGCCGCAAGAGAGCCGGCGGCAGGGCCGCGTAAGAGCCGGGGCAGGGGCCGCGTAAGAGCCGGGACGGGGCCGCGAGAGAGCCGTCGGCGGGGCCGCGTGAAAGCCGGGGCGGGGCCGCGCGAGAGTAGGCGGCGGGGCCGCGTAAGAGCCTGGGCGGGGACGCGACAGAGCCGTCGGCGGGGCCGCGTGAAGGCCGGGGCGGGGCCGCGTAAAGGCCGGGGCGGGGCCGCGACAGAGTCGGCGGCGGGGCCGCGTGAGAGCCGGCGACGGGGCCGCGTAAGGGAGGGCGGCGGGGCCGCGTCAGTGGAGGCGGCTGAGCCGCAGGGGAAAAGGCGACCCGAGGGGTCCGCTAAAAAAAAATCGCGCCTCGGGGCGCGCTTCGGTGGGCCCAAAAAACGGTCCTTAGAAGGACCCGCTCTGATACCATGTGAGAATAAGCGAACAGGAATGAAGAACTAGCAGTGAAATGAGTACAAGTAGGAAACCCTACAATTGTGTACCCCCTATAGGCTAACCCACTGTAGCCTACACAAGCATAACATATATAATGTTTGACAGTGGTCTCACTCAAATATAAGGTAGGAAATAAATTCATCTAGTGAACGTAAGGGTTTGAAAGGTAACTAACGCACATGTGTAGAGAAAATGGTGCATCGGCGAGTCTGGCCGGCATTTCGCACTTATAGTGCAGGTGGGGCCAGGGAGAACGGAAACGCCCATTTATCAAAAAGTAAAGGAAATCTAGCGGTCTCACTCAATCAGAAGGTGAAAAATATATAAATCTAGTGAGCTAATAAGGTTTGGAAGGAATCTAATGCATATGTATAGGGAAAGTGGTGCATTGGCCAGGTCGGTCAGTATGGGAACTTAGAGTGCAAATGCCAGGGAGAACGGAAGCGCTCAGATCTCGCATAGTACACAGAATCTAGCGGTCTCACTCAAATAGAAGGTAGGAAATAAATTCATCTAGTGAACGTAAGGGTTTGAAAGGTAACTAACGCACATGTGTAGAGAAAATGGTGCATCGGCCAGTCTGGCCGGCATTTCGCACTTATAGTGCAAGTAGGGCCAAGGAGAACGGAAACGCTCATTTCTCAAAAAGTAAAGGGAATCTAGCGGTCTCACTCGATCAGAAGGTGGGAAATATATAAATCTAGTGAGCTAATAAGGTTCAGAAGGAATCTAAGGCATATGTATATGGAAGGTGGTGCATTGGCCAGGTCGGTCAGTATGGGAACTTAGAGTGCAAATGCCTGGGAGAACGTGTGAGAATAAGCGAACAGGAAGTGAATGAAGTAGCAGTGAAATGAGTACAAGTAGGAAACCCTAGAATTGTGTACCCCCTATAGGCTAACCCACTGTAGCCTACACAAGCATAACATATATAATGTTTGACACACCCCCATAGGCAAAGTGGGGGAGAACAAGGGGTCACAAGACCAGTCAAGCAAAGCAAAGCAAGCTCAGGGTGGATCACAAAGTCACCACACAGTCCGAGCACAAGAGCAGGGCCAGAGGCCAGTTCACATGCAGGAGTACAGACATATATATAAAACTAGACAAGCAAGAGCAGGTATATATATATGTCACAGTACAAGTAAAGTCAAGAGGAGAGCAAGTGAGGCAAGACAGACACAAGACCCAGCTGGGTGCAAAAGCGCTGATGATCACAAGGCGCGAGTGCCTTGGTGAACACATCAGCAGTGTTGGCCTCAGAGGCCACGTACGCAAGTCGCAACTGACCACGCTGCTGCAGCTCACGAGCAAGGAAGTAGCGGAGAGCAATGTGCTTCGTTCTGTGCTCCAAGCGCTGCTCTCGACACAAGGCCAGCATGGCCTTGTTGTCTACGTACAGCACTGGAGGAGAACGAGGCGGCTCTCCAAGGTCAGTCAGCAGGTAGGTGAGCCAGCGAAGCTCCTGTGCAGCCATGGCCCCGGCGTAGATCTCAGCCTCACAACTGGAGCCGAGAACCGAAGACGAGCGAGTAGACCGCCACGAGACAGAGCCGGAACCAAGGCTGAAGGTGTAACCCTGTGACGACCGCTGCGTAGCCTGGTCGTCAGCCCAAGAAGCGTCCGCGTGGCCGGTAAGGACCACTGGACTCCGCCCTCCAAGCACAAGCCCCATGCCCGACGTACTGCACAGGTAGCGCAATACCCTCTTCGCTGCAGCCATGTGCTCTGGTCTGTGTCTCCCAGGAGCAACATAGCGTGCAAGAATGCTCAGAGGGTATGCAAGGTCAGGTCGTGTGCAGGTCATCAGGTACATGAGGCAGCCAACAAGCTCTGCATACGGACCACTCGACTCTACGGACTCATCCGAAGGCAGAGCTGAGAGTGAGTGGCGAGTAGGCAGAGGAGTGGCCTGGGGCGAGGAGTACGTGAAGCCGAAGCGCTGAAGGACCTGCTGCACCATGTGTGACTGAGTCAAGGTAATGGTGCGGCGTGCTCTGTCCCGAGTGATCTGCAAGCCAAGGTAGCTGCGCAGTTCACCCAGGTCTGTGCACGTGTGTCTCTTCAGCAGTTCGGACTTCACGTAGGCGAGTCCAGCAGTGTCCGCTGTGGCAAAGACCAAGTCGTCGGCGTACACGAGGATGTAGAACGGCGGCAGTGAAGTGTCGGTGCGCAGAAACAGCGACGGGTCAGCAGTAGAAGGAGCAAACCCAAGAGCCGCAAGCGTAGTCCTCAGTGTGTCGTGCCACTCACGCGGTGCCTGGCGGAGACCGTAGACTGGCCGTCGGAGGCTCCACTGGGTGCCAGGAGGGAAAGTCCCAGTGAAGCCAGGTGGACGGCGCAGCCAGATCTCCTCGTGCAGGCTACCCTGCAGGAACGCAGTGCTGAAGTCGAGAGAGTGAAGCTCGTAGTCGCGCTGAGCGGCTATGTGCAGCAGCACCCGAAGAGTGGTCATCTTCGGGGTGGGAGAGAAGGTCTGAAAGTAGTCAACTCCCTGCCGCTGACTGAAGCCACGAGCAACGTACCGCGCCTTGAAGACAGGTGGAGAGCCCGGCGGCCGCTTCACCCGCAAGATCCACATGCCACTGACGATGTTCGCCCCAGGAGGGGGAACTGCGTCAACGTAGGTGCCTGTGGACTTCCAGGAAGCCATCTCTGCATCCATAGCTGCCTGCCACTGAGAGGAGTAGGGACCCTCTACGGCCTCCGCGTAAGAACGCGGAGTCGGGATGTCTAGTGCATCCGGGTCTCCCTCAGGGGCAAGCAGTACAGACGCGAGATGAGGTGAAGCAGCCGCTAGACACTGTAACTCCTCCTGTCTGTCCTCTAGGACGTCCGTGCCAAGAGCACACTCACCCCCGACGGACGGAGGACAGACAGACGCAGACTCAGCAACAAGACCAGCAGTGTAGTCGAGACGACAGCGAGCAGCAAAGTCAACGAGCTCAGCGACTAGAGCAGACGCAGCAGTGGACTCAAAAGAGGGGTCAGTGACGACAGTAGCAAGCAGACGCGTGACAGTAGGACTGGCAGCGCGAAGAGAGTCCGACTCAGGGTCGGCAAGCGCAGGAAGAGAGGACTCAGGAGGAGAAGGCAAAGGGGCACGCAGAGGAGCAGTGGACGGACGCAGAGACATCCGGTGCGTGCCAGGGACAGGAGGAGGACGCTGACGCGAACCGCGACCACTAGCGCGAGCAGCACGAACAGGCGACGCGGGACGAGACGCAGGCTCACGACGCTCAGCAAGACCTCCAGTAGGACCAGTGTAAGGAGAGGGAGCAGGCAGAGGAGAGGAAGGCTCCAACAGTGACTGCGACTGGACAGGCTGTGGACACTCTACTGAAGGAGAAAGACCAAGAACCTGCTGTAGGAGCGGAACGAAGTACGGCCGAGGCCGCGCGGCAGCTCAAGACTCAGCAGGGACAGCACCAGCACCCTCAGCGACAGCACCAGCGCCACCAACACCTCCAGCGGCAGGACCTCCAGCAGCACCAGCAGCAGAACCACCGCCAGGACAGACAGCAGTAGTCTCAGCACCAACACCCTCAGCAGCTCCAGCTCCAGTAGGACCCGCAGGCCCAGCAGCTCCGGGACCGGCAGCACCAGCACCCTCGACGGTCGACGAAGCTCCAGCTCCAGCAGTACGCCTCCAGCGGCGAGCAAACCACTCACGCAGCTCCTGTGGAGAGAGGGGCTCCTGGCGAGACGCAGCAGCAGGAGAAACCCCAGGCTTAGCAGCTCCAGACTCAGCACCCCCAGGCACAGCCGCTCCAGACTCAGCACCTCCAGGCTCAGCAGCTCCAGACTCAGCACCCCCAGACTCAGTAGCTCCAGCTCCAGTAGGACCCGCAGGCCCAGCAGCTCCGGGACCGGCAGCACCCTCAGCAGGCGAAGAAGCTCCAGCTCCAGCAACACGCCTCCAGCGGCGAGCAAACCACTCGCGCAGCTCCTGTGGAGAGAGCGGCTCCCGCCGAGACGGAAGAACCGGAGAGCCCCCAGGTCCAGCAGGCGCAGGCTCCGCACCTCCAGGCCCAGCACCCCCAGGCTCAGCAGCTCCTGACGTAGCACCCTCCGGCTCAGCACCCCCCGGCTCAGCACCCCCAGACTCAGCACCCCCCGGCCTCGCACCCCCAGGCTCAGCACCCCCAGGCTCAGCACCCACAGCAGCAGCACCCCCGCGCTCAGCACCCGCAGCAGGACCAGACTCAGCAGCAACCTCGACTGGCTCGACCGTGTCTACCTGGGACACACCCGAAGGGGCAGGAACCTGAGGGGGTAGGGGGTCTACCGGGGGGGGGAACTGGTACCAGGAAGTCCGGTGGGGGGGGAAGGGAAGGAGTACGGTAGGGGAAGAGGCGGTAGAAGGGGACTGACTCGTCGAACGTGACGTCCTGGGAGGACAGAACACGACGAGAGGAGGGGTGGTAGAACTGCCACCCTGGAGCGTCAGGGGGGAAGCCAAGGAAGACACAGGGAGCAGCACGGGGGGACAGCTTGTCCGCAGACAAGTCGCGGACAAACGCCCGAGATCCCCAGACACGGAACGCAGACGCATCGCCGACCTTCCCCGTCCACAGTAACACTGGGGACATCGCGGGCCGAGAGACCCTGGGGTGAAGGTTGAGCTGATGCGCCGCGTACCGAACCGCAAACGGCCACAGAAAATAGGGGGCAGCCGCATGCATCATGGACGTACGAGCGACATCCATCACCATGCCAATGCGGCGCTCAGCAATCCCATTTTGCTGTGGAGAGTCCGGAAGCGTAAAGGTCTGGCGGATCCCCTGTGCACGACAGTAGTCTCGCAGAAGGCGAGAGGAGAACTCCCCACCTCGGTCAGAGTGCAGACGCAGAACAGGAAAGTCCGAGCCGAAGCTCCTCCTGAGCTGGAGACGAGCCTCGCGGATCCAGTCGATCAGCACCTCAGTGACAGCACCCTTGCTGCGCAAGGGGAAGACTGAGGTGTAACGCGAGTAGTCGTCAACCACCAACAGGAAGTAGCGCTCGTGACCCTGCCCACGGACGGGGGCCGGGCCCCACACGTCCATGTGAAGTGTCTGCAGAGGAGCCTCTGTCGGGGGAAACAGGGAGGAGTGAGGAGCAGCCCTGAGGCGCCCCTCGACATAGGGGACACAGGAAGGTCCTGGTCCCGAAGGAAGGGGAGGGAGAGACTGGGGAAGACCAGAGACAAGGACACGGGAAGCCATGCCCCGAAGACGGGGCAAGGAGGGGTGGCCTAGACGGTGGTGCCACAGAAGAGTCTCGTGAGACAGGAGGCGACACGAACAGGGGGCAGACTCAGGACCAGACCTGGACGCAGCAGCAAACACCTGACCCGACGCTGCTACCTGACCGGACGCGGGGACAGGAGGAGACTCAGTGGTCAGGGTGTAGAGGCTCGACCCCGGCCGACGCGAGAACGTGGCCAGGTGCCGGCCTGTGCGTGCGTCCGTGCAGTGGGTCACCCGCTGACTCGCAGGAGTGAACTGGTGAACCCCCGCATCCTGTAGGTCTGCACCACTCACCAAGTTCGTCGAGAACGAGGGGAGGTACAGGCCAGACAGGGTGCCCGAGGGGGCAGCCGGACACGGGAGGACAGTGGAGAAGTGAGCGAGGACAGGACCCCCAGAGGGGTCAGCCAGGGAGACTGCAACCGGCCGACCAAGCGGCGTGAGTGTGGTGCGGTCCCGAAAGAAGGAGCGAGAAGCCCCAGAGTCAAGTGTAAAGGTGAGGGAGGCCGAAGCCAACGCGGTACCTGAGAGCGCAGCCTCACCCGCACCTGAGGAGCAGACTCACTAGCACCTAGAGCAGCAGCCGCACCTGTACCTGGAGCAGGAGACTCACTAGCACCCAGAGCAGCAGCCTCACCAGTAGCTAGAGCAGCAGGTCCTATACCTGGGTCAGGCGGGACGCACTGGTGACCGGCACGGTCAGCACTAGTAGGCAATGCATACATGGCAGTGAGAATAGCATCATAGTCAAGAGCATATATATCTACCCTCTGCCTAAGCAACTCCACCCAGTCGGGAAGCTCAGCCTCGTCGCCAAACACGGTACGCCAGGCGTCGCTCAGACGGGCGAAGCAGCGGGACGGTGTATGACTACGTGTCCCACAAGGCTGACCAGTCCGAGTACCAGTGCGAATCACGTAAGAGCAGCGAACAGCACTGAGAGACCCTCCACTCTGAGCGTACCACTCACGAAGCTGGCGAGGCGTGAGAGACACGCGAGAGGGTCGCGGGAGCTGCATCTGGCCGCCACCACGAGTAGAAGCAGCAGGAGTGGTAGTAGGAGTAGCGTCGCCACCCCTACAGCCCCAACCAGCGTACCACTCACGCAGCTGCTGGGGCGTGAGGGACTCACGCCGGCGTCGCTGGGGCTGCATGTGGCTCCGCAAGTAGAAGCAGGAGCAGGACTAGCAGCAGGGAGGCAGGCAGCCAGGCAAGCCAAAAGGCAGGCAGGCAGGCAAGCAGGCGACGCGCAGCGTGCTAGCAGGGCAAGAGCTCACCAGTGGTGGGAAGAGTAGGCTCGGCGACTCAGCGGCTCGGCGGCTTGGCGGCTCGGGCGACTCGGGCGGCTCGGCGGCAAGGCGGCTCGGCAGCAACTGCAGCTCAGCAGCTCGGTGACTCGGCGGCTCGGCGGCAGGGCGGCTCGGCAGCAACTGCAGCTCAGCAGCTCAGCGACCCGGCGGCTCGGCGGCAGGGCGGCTCGGCTGCTGGGCGGCTCGGGTGCAGGGCGGCTCGGCGGTGGGGCGGCTCGGCTGCTGCAGGTGAGCGGCTCGGCTGCTGCAGTGGGAGATGAAGGAGGAGGAGAAGCAGGGGAGGCCACACACCTGCCACCCCTCTGCGACGGGCGACGGGAAAAAGGGGGGGTGGGTGGTGGGGGGCCGGTAGGTGCAGCGGCGGGGCCAGCAGGTGCAGTTGCGGGTCCGGTAGAAGGGGACGGCAGGAGCCGTCAGGAGAGGACGGCGGGGCCGTCAGGAAGGGACGGCGGGGCCGTCACGAAGGGACGGCGGGGCCGTCAGGAGGTGACCGGGCCGCGACGGGGGCAGGCGGCGGGGCCGCGTAAGGGCCTGGGCGGGGCCGCGACAGAGCCGTCGGCGGGGCCGCGTGAAAGCCGGGGCGGGGCCGCGTAGAAGCTGGGGCGGGGCCGCGCGAGAGCAGGCGGCGGGGCCGCGAAGGAGCCGGGGCGGGGCCGCGTGAGAGCAGGTGGCGGGGCCGCGTAAGGGCCTGGGCGGGGCCGCGACAAAGCCGTCGGCGGGGCCGCGTGAAAGCCGGGGCGGGGCCGCGTAGAAGCCGGGGCGGGGCCGCGCGAGAGCAGGCGGCGGGGCCGCGAAGGAGCCGGGGCGGGGCCGCGTGAGAGCAGGCGGCGGGGCCGCGTAAAGGCCGGGGCGGGGCCGCGACAGAGCCTGCTGCGGGGCCGCGTGAGAGCCGGCGACGGGGCCGCGTAAGGGCCGGCGGCGGGGCCCCGTCAGAGAGGGCGGCGGGGCCGCGTCAGTGAAGGCGGCGGGGCCGCAGGGGAAATGGCGACCCGAGGGGTCGCTAAAAAAAAAGATCGCGCCTCGGGGGGCGCTTCGGTGGGCCCAAAAAAACGGTCCGTAGAAGGACCCGCTCTATACCATGTGAGAATAAGCGAACAGGAAGTGAATGAAGTAGCAGTGAAATGAGTACAAGTAGGAAACCCTAGAATTGTGTACCCCCTATAGGCTAACCCACTGTAGCCTACACAAGCATAACATATATAATGTTTGACAGAACGGAAGCGCTCAGATCTCGCATAGTACACGGAATCTAGTGGTCTCACTCAATTATAAGGTAGGAAATAAATTCATCTAGTGAACGTAAGGGTTTGAAAGGTAACTAACGCACATGTGTAGAGAAAATGGTGCATCGGCGAGTCTGGCCGGCATTTCGCACTTATAGTGCAGGTGGGGCCAGGGAGAACGGAAACGCCCATTTATCAAAGGTGAAAAATATGAAATCTAGTGAGCTAATAAGGTTTGGAAGGAATCTAATGCATATGTATATGGAAAGTGGTGCATTGGCCAGGTCGGTCAGTATGGGAACTTAGAGTGCAAATGCCTGGAAGAACGGAACCGCTGAGATCTCGCATAATACACGGAATCTAGTGGTCTCACTCAAATAGAAGGTAGGAAATAAATTCAACTAGTGAACGTAAGGGTTTGAAAGGTAACTAACGCACATGTGTAGAGAAAATGGTGCATCGGCCAGTCTGGCCGGCATTTCGCACTCATAGTGCAGGTGGGGCCAGGGAGAACGGAAACGCTCGTTTCTCAAAAAGTAGAGGGAATCTAACGGTCTCACTCGATCAGAAGGTGGGAAATATATACATCTAGTTAGCTAAAAAGGTTTGAAATGTATTCAACGCACATGTATTGGCCAGGTCGGTCGGTATCAGAACTTAAAATGCAAATGCCAGGGAGAACGGAAGCGCTCAGATCTTGCATAGTACACGGAATCAAGTGGTCTCACTCAAATAGAAAGTAGGAAATATATTCATCTAGTGAACCTAGGGGTTTGAAAGGTAACTAACGCACATGTTTAGAGAAAATTGTGCATCGGCCAGTCTGGCCGGCATTTCGCACTTATAGTGCAACTAGGGCCAAGGAGAACGGAAACGCTCATTTCTTAAAAAGTAGAGGGAATCTAGCAGTCTCACTAGATCAAAAGGTGGGAAATATATAAATCTAGTGAGCTAATAAGGTTCGAAAGGAATCTAATGCATATGTATATGGAAAATGGTGCATTGGCCAGGTCGGTCAGTATGGGAACTTAGAGTGCAAATGTCAGGGAGAACGGAAGCGCTCAGATCTCGCATAGTACACGGAATCTAGTGGTCTCACTCAAATAGAAGGTAGGAAATAAATTCATCTAGTGAACTTAAGGGTTTGAAAGGTAACTAACGCACATGTGTAGAGAAAATGGTGCATCGGCCAGTCTGGCCGGCATTTCGCACTTATAGTGCAAGTAGGGCCAAGGAGAACGGAAACCCTCATTTCTCAAAAAGTAGAGGGAATCTAGCGGTCTTATTCGATCAGAAGGTGGGAAATATATAAATCTAGTGAGCTAATAAGGTTCAAAAGGAATCTAATGCATATGTATATGGAAAATGGTGCATTGGCCAGGTCGGTCAGTATGGGAACTTAGAGTGCAAATGCCAGGGAGAACGGAAGCGCTCAGATCTCGCATAGTACACGGAATCTAGTGGTCTCACTCAAATAGAAGGTAGGAAATAAATTCATCTAGTGAACGTAAGGGTTTGAAAGGTAACTAACGCACATGTGTAGAGAAAATGGTGCATCGGCCAGTCTGGCCGGCATTTCGCACTTATAGTGCAAGCAGGGCCAAGGAGAACGGAAACGCTCATTTCTCAAAAAGTAAAGGGAATCTAGCAGTCTCACTCGATCAAAAGGTGGGAAATATATAAATCTAGTGAGCTAATAAGGTTCGAAAGGAATCTAATGCATATGTATATGGAAAATGGTGCATTGGCCAGGTCGGTCAGTATGGGAACTTAGAGTGCAAATGCCAGGGAGAACGGAAGCGCTTAGATCTCGCATAGTACACGGAATCTAGAGGTCTCACTCAAATAGAAGGTAGGAAATAAATTCATCTAGTGAACGTAAGGGTTTGAAAGGTAACTAACGCACATGTGTAGAGAAAATGGTGCATCGGCCAGTCTGGCCAGCATTTTGCACTTATGGTGCAAGTAGGGCCAAGGAGAACGGAAACACTCATTTCTCAAAAAGTAAAGGGAATCTAGCGGTCTCACTCGATCAGAAGGTGGGAAATATATAAATCTAGTGAGCTAATAAGTTTCGAAAGGAATCTAATGCATATGTATATGGAAAATTGTGCATTGGCCAGGTCGGTCAGTATGGGAACTTAGAGTGCAAATGCCAGGGAGAACGGAAGCGCTCAAATCTTGCATAGTACACGGAATCTAGTGGTCTCACTCAGATATAAAGTAGTAAATAAATTCATCTAGAGAACGTAAGGATTTGAAAGGTAACTAACGCACATGTGTAGAGAAAATGGTGCATCGGCCAGTCTGGCCGGCATTTCGCACTTATAGTGCAAGTAGGGCCAAGGAGAACGGAAACGCTCATTTCTCAAAAAGTAAAGAGAATCTAGCGGTCTCACTCGATCAGAAGGTGGGAAATATGTAAATCTAGTGAGCTAATAAGGTTTGGAAGGAATCTAATGCATATGTATATGGAAAGTGGTGCATTGGCCAGGTCGGTCAGTATGGGAACTTAGAGTGCAAATGCCTGGGAGAACGGAACCGCTCAGATCTCGCATAATACACGGAATCTAGTGGTCTCACTCAAATAGAAGGTAGGAAATAAATTCATCTAGTGAACTTAAGGGTTTGAAAGGTAACTAACGCACATGTGTAGAGAAAATGGTGCATCGGCCAGTCTGGCCGGCATTTCGCACTTATAGTGCAAGCAGGGCCAAGGAGAACGGAAACGCTCATTTCTCAAAAAGTAAAGGGAATCTAGCAGTCTCACTCGATCAAAAGGTGGGAAATATATAAATCTAGTGAGCTAATAAGGTTAGAAAGGAATCTAATGCATATGTATATGGAAAATGGTGCATTGGCCAGGTCGGTCAGTATGGGAACTTAGAGTGCAAATGCCAGGGAGAACGGAAGCGCTTAGATCTCGCATAGTACACGGAATCTAGAGGTCTCACTCAAATAGAAGGTAGGAAATAAATTCATCTAGTGAACGTAAGGGTTTGAAAGGTAACTAACGCACATGTGTAGAGAAAATGGTGCATCGGCCAGTCTGGCCGGCATTTCGCACTTATAGTGCAAGCAGGGCCAAGGAGAACGGAAACGCTCATTTCTCAAAAAGTAAAGGGAATCTAGCAGTCTCACTCGATCAAAAGGTGGGAAATATATAAATCTAGTGAGCTAATAAGGTTCGAAAGGAATCTAATGCATATGTATATGGAAAATGGTGCATTGGCCAGGTCGGTCAGTATGGGAACTTAGAGTGCAAATGCCAGGGAGAACGGAAGCGCTTAGATCTCGCATAGTACACGGAATCTAGAGGTCTCACTCAAATAGAAGGTAGGAAATAAATTCATCTAGTGAACGTAAGGGTTTGAAAGGTAACTAACGCACATGTGTAGAGAAAATGGTGCATCGGCCAGTCTGGTCGGCATTTTGCACTTATGGTGCAAGTAGGGCCAAGGAGAACGGAAACACTCATTTCTCAAAAAGTAAAGGGAATCTAGCGGTCTCACTCGATCAGAAGGTGGGAAATATATAAATCTAGTGAGCTAATAAGTTTCGAAAGGAATCTAATGCATATGTATATGGAAAATTGTGCATTGGCCAGGTCGGTCAGTATGG